GCCGATGACGGGCAGCGGGGTCAGCGCGGCGACCATGCCTGGCAAGTGAGCCGCGCCGCCCGCGCCGGCGATGATGACGCGCACGCCGCGCGCGTCCGCCTCGCGCGCAAACTCGTACATGCGCGACGGCGTGCGGTGGGCCGAGACGATGGTGATCTCGTAGGGGACGCCGAACTGCTCGAGCACCTGCGGGCGAGCGACACGTGTGAAGAGACGCCGTCCACAGCCCCGGGTGTGAAGAGACGCCGCCCAAGGCTCTGAGCTCGCAAGGGCACGCCGGCGGGGGCGTGGGAGCGTCGCACCTCCGCGGCGGCCTTCATGCACGGCAGGTCCGAATCGGACCCCATTATGATGCTGACCACCGGAGCCTCGTCGGCGGGGGCCGACGGCGCCACCGCCCCCTCCACTCCGTTGGCGGCGTCGGCGATCGCCTCGAGCTTCCGCAAGGCGATCGCGACCTCGTGGCGCGACCCTCCGACGAGGTTGACGTGCGCCATCTTGCGGCGCGGCTTGGGAGGCGCCTTGCCGTACCAGTGCAGAGCAGCGCACGGCATCGCGAGCGCAGCGTCGACGGCGGCGAGGGTGGTGGAGAGCTTGCCGTCGGCGGAGCCGATGACATTGTACATCGCGGCGGCGGCAACCTTCATGGAAGTGTCCCCGAGCGGCAAGCCGGCGACGCAGCGCAAATGCATCTCGTGCTGCTCGGTGACGCACGCGTCCATGGTGTAGTGGCCGGAGTTGTGAGGGCGAGGAGCGATCTCGTTGAGCAAGACGGAGCCGTCCTTCATGTGGAACAACTCCACGCCGAAGATGCCGGCGCCCCACAGGGAGCTGATCGCCTTGCGCGCGACGGCGAGCGCCTGCTCACAGCTGGAGGTGTGAAGCGACGCCGTTCACAGGGAGTGGATCGCCTTGCGCGCGACGGCGAGCGCCTGCTCACAGCTGGAGGTGTGAAGCGACGCCGTTCACAGGGAGTGGATCGCCTTGCGCGCGACGGCGAGCGCCTGCTCACAGCTGGAGGTGTGAAGCGACGCCGTTCACAGGGAGTGGATCGCCTTGCGCGCGACGGCGAGCGCCTGCTCGCTGACGCTGGCGGCCACCGGCGCGGGGGCGACGACGGTGTGGCACATCGAGTCGCGCTGCTCGGTGACGGTGAGTGGGTAGGTGACGACGGTGCCGTCGCGTGCGCGCGCAACCATTACCGCCAGCTCTGAGACGAACTCCGCCCACCGCTCTGCATACAGCGGCACCGCACCGCCGCGGGAGAGTGAGGAAAAGGCAGACTCGGCCTCGGCAGCCGAGCGGACGACGGCGTTGCCGCGGCCGTCGTAGGCCAGGGTCCGCGCCTTGAGCATGAGAGGGTAGCCCCACGTCTCGCCGGCAGCGAGGAGGGCGGCGGCGTCCGGGACGTCGCAGAAGTCGCCTAGTTCATTCCCCAAGCAAGTCGAGAAAGAAATGATGGAGCGGGCGGCCGAGACGTGCCAGGAGTCGCCCAGGCTGACGCCGTCGACGGTGGAGAGGTGCCGCTTCTGCAGCAGCTTGTCCTGGGTCGTGGGGGCAGCGGAGGGTCAGCGCCGGGGTCGAGAAGGCTCTGGTCTCCCTCCTGCAGCCGCTTGTCTTTGGCCTGGATCGTGGCGAGCGTGCGCGGCGACGGGTGCACCGCAACCTTGCCCTCGGCCTCGATGGCGGCAAGGGAGGCGGTGTCGATGTGCTCGATCTCGACGGTGAGCACGTCGACCTCGGCGGCGAGCTTGCGGATCGCCGCGCCGTCCGCCAGCCCACCCGTCACCGCCGCGCCGCACACCTTGCCTGCGGGCGAGAGACACGCGCAGGCGTCGGAGGCGGGCCGAGGCAGGGGCTTGGAGGAGGAAACGCCGTCGCCGCGACGGCGAGGAAGGCGGGGCGGCGATCCGCGGGCCGTGCATGCGCGACGGGCGACAGTGGGCGAGGGCGGGCGGCGAGCACCGGTCGGCGACGCGAGCCCTCCCGGGTCGAGGCAGGTGAGCTTGACGCCGAGGCGGTGGGCGGCGAGCGCCATCATCTGGCCGAGCTGGCCGCCGCCCACCACGCCCACGCGGACGGAGGTGGGCGGGAGAGAGGGCTCAGAGGCGGCAGAGCACATCGTCAACGGTAGGCGGAGGCTGCGGGCGCGACGGAGGCACCGAGAGGAGGGACACAGATTTCTTTTTGCTAAGAAAACCCCCCAGCTGGCTGTGTGTCTTGTGAGCTTGTTTGTGTCTGTGTGTCGCTCGTGCGTGTCGTCATCATCTGTCTAGCGTCCACCCATACCGCGTTGGTGTCCAGTCCGAGCCTGGCTGTTCTTCACCTTACTACCTACCTACCCCAGTGCGCAGTGGGTCCCTGTTTATTTCTTATTCTTTCCTTCCTTTTATAAATGAACTTCCATCCTTTCCTTACCTTTATATTGTGGCGGCCCGTGCCGTTCTCCCATGCCCCGTGAGGTTGTCTTCCTTTCTCAAGCGTCAAGGCTAGCCCGCACAAGTGATACAACACCGTGAGCTGCGCTCGGGGCCGACTAGAGTGCCCTCCTGGTCACTGCGCCCATACCTCCACCCTCTTGGGCAGCAGCTGGTCCGACAGGTCCTCTCCGTGTCCTAGGCAGCCGCGGCCGCCCTCGCCCCAGGTAAAGACAGCGCCGACGGCGGTGAGAGCGATGCTGTGGTCGTATCCAGCCGAGACAGCAACGACGCGCCCGCCACCCAAGGCCTCCACCTTCTTCGGCAGCACCTGGCCCTGCCGATTGCCGTGGCCCACTGTGCCGTAGTCTCCATCGCCCCAGCTCCAGACACTGCCGTCGGCGGCGAGAGCGAGGCTGTGGCCGGCTCCAGCCGACACAGCGACGACGCGCTGCCCAGCAAAGGCCTCGACCTTCTTGGGCAGCAGCTGGTCCTGCTCGTCGCCGTGGCCCAGCTGGCCAAAGCCTATCCAAAGCCCCAGCTCCAGACGTTGCCGTCGGCGGTGATGGCGAGGCTGTGGCCGCCTCCAGCCAAGACAGCGACGACGCGCTGCCAAGCAAAGGCCTCGACATTCTTGGGCAGCAGCTGCTGGTCCGTGTCGCCGTGGCCGAGCCTGCCTGAGCCTCCATTGCCCCAGCTCCAGACGGCGCCTTCGGCGGTGACAGCGAGGCAGTGGTAGCATCCCGCCGACACAGCGACGACGCGCCGCCCAGCAAAGGCCTCGATCTTCTTGGGCAGCAGCTGGCTCTGCGTGTCGCCGTGGCCCAACCGGCCCCAGGATCCAGAGCCCCAGCTCCAGACAGCGCCGTCAGCGGTGAGGGAGAGGCTGTGCGCAGCTCCAGCCGACACAGCGGCGACGCGCTGGCCAGCAAAGGCCTCGATCTTCTTCGGCAGCAGCTGGATCTGCTCGTCGCCGTGGCCCAGCGGGCCGCTCCATCCACGGCCCCAGCTCCAGACAGCTCCGTCAGCGGTGAGGGCAAGGTTGGACCCGGCTGCAGCCGACACGCTCACGGCACGCTCGCCGCCCAGCGGCGAAGGGAGGCGGGTCGGCGTGTTGAGCCGCGCCACGCCCTCGCCGTGGCCAAGAATGCCCGGCATCCAGTTGTCAGCCCTTCCGCACGATGAGAGCCGCCCCTCGCCGTCGATGAAGACGCTGTGATAACGGCCTGCCGCCGCCCTCGCCGGCGGGTTCGACTCGCACAGCAACGCAGCGAAGCACAGCCACCGCACGGGGCAGCCCTCGCCCTCAGGCTGCGCCAGCAGCTCGAAGCCGCGCTCTTGCGCCCACAAGCGAATGGCCTCCGCCGCGAGCGAGGCGTGGAAGAGCAGCGAGACGGCCGCGACACGAGCGATATCGAGGGGGCTGTCGCAGCGAGCGAGGACGCGCTCGAGGAGGTCCGTGGGGAGGTCGAGGAGGCGGGCGGGCGGCGGCGTGTCTGGCGAGGGGGCGGCGGCGGAGGAGGCGGTGGCGAAACGGCGCGAGCGGCGGCGCGGAGGGGCAGACATCGCGAGAAAAAGAATTGCCACGCCCCAATAAAGAAACCGAAAAGCAAAACCGGCCGAAGCTCGGAGAAGGTTGCGCGAAAGCACCGACGGCCCATGCTCTCCTGCAAGCTCGTCCTCTTGCTGGCCGTCTGCGGCGCGCGCGGCTTCCTGCTGCCCGTGGCGCATCGCGCCGCCGTCAGCACGACGGCGTCCCAATATGCCGTTGCTGCTCGCTTGCCGGCCGTGCAGATGGGCCGCGGCGACAAGCGCACAAAAAAAGGGAAGCGAACGGCGCAGACCTTTGGCAATGCCCGGCCCAAGAACGGCAAACTTCGCCGGGAGCGCGACGGCCCGATGGAAAATGTGGCCGCGGTGAAGGCGGCGGCCGCCGCCGCTGCCAAGGCGGAGGAGGAGGCGGCTGCTGCGGCCGCTGCGGTGAAGGCGGAGGCGGAGGCCGCTGCGGCTGCGGCTGCGGAAAAGGCTGAGGAGGAGGCCGCGGCCGCGGCGGCAAAGGCGGAGGAAGAGGCAGCTGCCGCAGCTGCCGCTGCCAAGGCGGAGGAGGCGGCGGCGGCGGCGAAGGCGGCGAAGGCAGAGGAGGAGGAGGCGGCGGCGGCGAAGGCAGAGGAGGAGGCGGCGGCGGCGGCGAAGGCAGAGGAGGAGGCGGCGGCGGCGGCGAAGGCAGAGGAGGAGGCGGCGGCGGCGGCGAAGGCAGAGGAGGCGGCGGCGGCGGCGGCGAAGGCAGAGGAGGAGGCGGCGGCAGCCGAGGCAGAGGAGGCGGCGGCGCCGGCGCTGTCGGCGAGCGACCTCATGGCGCTGATGAAGCAGCTGCGCGCTGAGCTGCCGCGCGCGGACCTGAAGGCGCCGCGAGCCATGAGCCTCGCTGGGCCACTCCTCGGCCGCACCTCGGCCTCACCTCGGCCTCGCCTCGGCCGCACCCGCCTAGAAGGTTCCTAGAAGGTTCCTAGAAGGTTCCTAGACATGCACATGCACACGTCCCATATGCTCGCAGGCGTGCAAGGCGGCGCTCGAGTCAACCGGCGGAGACCTGGCGGCGGCTTCGGCGGCGCTGACGGCAGAGAGAGAAGCAAGGCGAGCGGCGCCGCTGCTCGGAGCTCCCCGCGAACTTTCCGGGAAGTGTCCCGTAGGCGGAGCACGGCGAGGCGTGGGCGGCGGCGGAGGCGGCGGACGCGGCTGAGATACAGGCGAGATGTGGCCGAGAGATGGCCGAGAGATGGCCAAGATATGCGCGAGATGTGGCCGCGATCTACCCGAGATCTGCCCGAGATCTGCCCGAGATCTGCCCGAGATCTGCCCGAGATCTGCCCGAGATCTGCCCGAGATCTGCCCGCGATCTAATCCGCGGGTTCCTTCGGTGCGTTGAGATGGGCGAGATTGCGTCGAGATCTGACCCGAGATACGGCCCCGCTCTTTCAACAGGCGGGCACTGTCAAGGCGATGGGCATGCGGGACGCTAAGGCGAACCGGAGTGCGGCGGGGGAGGAGGCGCCGAATCTCGAGCAATCTCGGCGACGCTCGGCGGATCGGGGGCGTAGGCGCAGAAGAAGTTTGCGGCGGAGGAGGCTGCGTCGGTTGAGGCGGCGGCGGAGGCACCAGAGCCGGCGGTGGCGGAGGAGGTGGCGGTGCCGGTGGCGGAGGAGGAGGAGGCGGAGGAGGCGGTGGCACCGGCCGTCGCTTCTGCGGGGGAGGAGATGGTTGGTGTGGTGAGCAGCAGCCGAGATGCGACGAGATGCGAGGGAGAGAGGGGGAGATGCGGCGAGATGCAGAAGGAGATGCCCCCCCCCCCCCCTTTCTTCTCCACACACCACCCATCTCGCCGCGGCTGTTCACCCCCTTCCCCCCCTTCACCTGTGAACAGGTGGCCTCCACCACGGACTTCGTCTGGCCGGCGGCGACCGGAGGCGTGTGGGACAAGGCCATCGTCTGAGCGGCGACACAGGGGGCCTCGGGTGGCGAGGCGGGAGATGCAGAGCCCTCGGCGGTTGGGCATAGACCCTCGAGAGCGGTGTCACAGCTCCTCCCCCGCCGTCAGCGCTTCTCCGCATGGCACTCTGATGCTGTCGCGAGGCGAGACGGCCGACGCGCTTTTAGATATAGTGTGACAAGGCCGCCCCCGATAAATAAATAAATAAAACGGACACCTCTCTACTGTGAGATGGGTAAAAAGGAACTGCGATCTTTGTGCACGAGGGTGGGCCCGAGCCGGAGCCCCGTTTTCTCTCTGGGATGCGCTCCGGTTCCCCCCCCCCCCCCCCCGGTAGGCTTCCAATTCTCTCGCTTTTTCAAACCATGCCGATGTCGCCGTCGACGGCTTTTTCAAACCATGCCGATGTCGCCGTCGACGCCGCCCTCGCTCGCCGCCGCGTACCGCCCGTCACACCGCCCTCCTGGCGGGCACGCGCCCTGCCTCCCCTCCCGCACGTACACGTGCAGAGGCGCGCCGACACGGTCCCACGTGACCTCGACCCCGGTGGCGCTGTGTAGCGCCAAGCCGGCGTCGGCTAGTGCGGCCGGCGGAAGCGCGCGAACCGTCGCTAGCGCGGCCAGCGCGGCGTTGAGCGAGGCAGGCCAGGTCGCGTTGTTGCAAAACACGCGCGTCGCCTGTGATCATATACCGTAGTCGATATCGACAGCGTGTGCCTTACAACAGTAATCTCTCGACTCTCATCTTGTGTGTTTCTCATGCTTGCTACTCTTCTTGCTACTCGGGCGGGTCGCCCTGGCCAACAGCCCCCACAAGCTGTCCGCCCGAGCAAGCGCTGGGTCAGGCCTAGATCTCGACTCGATCTCGGCCAAGTGCTGCATGGGCACGATCCCGGCACGGTCTCGGCTCGATCTCGGCACGATCTCGGCTCGATCTCGGCCCGCCTCCGCGAACGGCTCCTTGGCGGAGAGCGCGTCAACACACAGCAGCGTCACCGCCGCAGACACCTCCGCCGCCGCCGCCGCCGCAGCCGCCGCCTCCCTCGCAGCCCGCAACGCTACGCTGGCCTCCTTCTCCTCCTCCTCCTCCCACCCCTCGTCCTCAACCGCCGCCGCCTCTGCCCGCTCCTCCGCCGCCGCCGCTCTCGCCGCCGCCGCCCTCGCCGCCGCCTCCGCAGCCTCTGCCTCCGCAGCCTCTGCCTCCGCCTGCGCCGCCGCCCGCCTCGCCCCGGCGCTACGAACCCGCGCCAGCGCCGCGACGGCCGCCTCGTGTCGCGCCCGCACCTGCCCACAGCCACAGCCGTGAAGAGACGCCGATCACAGCTGCCGCCGCCTCGCGCCGCGCGTGCACCAGCTCCAGCCCGACGGCGCCGGTGAGGCCTGTCCACAGCGCTGCCGCTGTGAGGGCGAGCTCAGAGGCGACAGCTTGAGAGCACGCGACGCAAAGCCTCGCAACGCTGCCACGACTAATACCACGCCCGCTCCTGTTCACAGCGGCAGCCGTGAAGAGACGCCGTCCACAGCGGAAACACGACAGCCGACCACGCCGCCGCCGCTGCCAACGTCGAGGAAGATCTCCTGTTCACAGGCGTCTGCTGTGAACGGCGTCTCGTCCCCATGTCCAGACTCATCTCGGCTGCATCTCGGCCGCACCTCGGCCGCACCTCGGCCGCATCTCGGCTCATCTCTGCCTCAGTCTCGGCGGCATCTCGGCGCTTGCCTGACAGCGCAGGTCGACAGGCAGCGGCGGGGCAAGCAGCGCGTCGAGCATCTGGCAGCAGCCAGCCGCTGTGAGCTCGCCTTATGGGCGTGTGGGCGACACGCGTCAGGGACGTGTCGTGGACAGAAGAGTGGCCGGCCGTGCCCCTCGCCGTAGTTCCACTGCTCCGGCCCGCGGCCAGAGTACTCGCGCTGGCACTCGGCGGTGGGCACGAACTCTTCTACGGTGGTCTGGTCAGAGGAGAAGGCGGCCTAGCGGAGGAGCGCATCCTCTTGTGGGCGCAAGTGCACGGCTACGAGCTGCCGGCGCAGACCTGCAGTACGCTCAGCGCCGCCGGAGATAGCTCGCTCGCGGCAGTCTCGGAGATGCGGCGCCCGAGCCACAGAGGCTCCTTGGGGTCGCGCATCACGTGTGACGCATCCATGGAGGTGGGACACACACACGGCTAGATTTCAGGGCGGGCCCTGGTTCGGAGTCGCCTGTGGCGTTATTTTACGACGAAGTCATAACGGGGTCCGGGGAGCCGGCCGCGCGGGGGGGGGGGGGGGGGGGGGTAAAATTTGGCCCCCCCCAAAAAGCCCGGGGGAAATCCCGGGGGTCGAGGGTGAGCTCGAAGCCGAGGGCGGCGGCCGAGTTCTGAATGGCGAGGGCGTCGGCGGTGACGATGGCGGCGGAGATGGCGGCGGAGTGAAAGGTGTAGTGCGAGCGGGTGGACGCGCGGGAGGTGCCGTACGGCGTGTGGTCAATGGACCCACTAGCGCGTGCGGTCCTCCTCGCAAGCTGGCGGAGGACACGATCGAGGTCGGCGGAGAATGCTCCGGTCGACTCGGGAAAGGAGGATGACCGTGTGGCGCTTGGCGAGGGCGTCAGCGTAATCACCGTCCTTCGCTGCCACCCATCCGTCGCCGCTGACACGGTCCAGTTGCTCCTCCGTGTCCGGGTCACCCCGTTGGGGGTGGCCGAGGACGACGACGGAGAGGTGCTCGTGCTCCTCAGTGTTGCCAAGCGCGATGAAGTGCCCATCGGCGCGGGAGGCGGCGCCTCCGCAGCGGGCGGAGCCGTTGCTTTGCGCCGGAGGGGAGGAACGGAGTGTAGCACTTGAACTCCCAGCACGTAGTCGTGGAGCCGACGCGGATCAAGTCCGGGATGTGTCCCTTGTTGACGTGGGCGTAGTAGCCCTTCCGCTCAGCCTTGGAGGCGGGGGTCCCGTCTCCCTTGTCGGCCAGCTGGATCGAGCCAACTGGCAGGGTGTCGCTCGTGACGCTAGTGAGCGCACGGTGGACGGCTGCGAGTGCGGCGTTGTGGCGGTGGGTGGCGTTGGCGGAATTGAGGCAATGGTCGCCGAGGCGTTCGTGCTGGGTGACGATAACGCTGTGTGACCGTCATCGCCCGTCCTGCGTCCACCCATACCGGTTACCGCGTTGGTGTCCCAGTCGTTGGTCGGACTGTGTTTCGCCTTCCCATCAATCAATCAACATGGCATATCGCTCTCGATTTTCTTTTCCTAAACTTCTTTTCCTTGTTGGCAAATACTAGGTTTCTTTCAGTCGAAAGAAGATGGCGGAAGGAAGCATGCACACTCGGCCCGACACTCTGCAAACACCGACAGACAAAGCGAACCCCCCACAACCAATAGACAGCGCCAAATGCGCTCATCAGACAGAGGGAGGGAGGGCGTCCCCTCGCCCCTGCTACTCAGCGGCCGGCGCGGATGCCTTTTGCGAGCGACGTGAGCTTGCCCGCGCGCTGCGCCTCCCTCCGCTTCTCCCGCCGCACCCTCCCCTTCTCGTCCGCGCGTGTCGCGTTGAAGGCGTGGCCGCGGTGGAGTGTGGCGTGGCCCTCCTCGAGGATCTGCTTCCACACCTACAATGAATGAGTGGATTGAGTTCATCGACTAGTTGATTAAGCCCTCCTCGAGGGTCTGCTTCCACACCGCCGTCTCCTTGACCATGCGCGCGATGATGCCGTACGAGTCCTGCTTGTGAGCACCTGCCAAATAAATAAATAAATAAATAAATAAAAGATGATGTGCGTACATCTCGGCTGTGTTCTCTCGGCTGCCTCTCGGCTGCCTCTCGGCTGCCTCTCGGCTGCCTCTCGGCTATATCTCGGCAGTCTCTCGGCTATATCTCGGCTGTGTCTCGCCGGCCATCTTGAAGCCGACGGTGTTGTTGTGCAGAAGGGCCCACGGCACGCGCAACCCCGCGAGCACGAGGCCTGTTCACAGCTGGAGGTGTGAAGAGGCGCCGTTCACAGGCGGGGGCGGGAAGCGCGAGCGCGAGGAGGCCGCGGCAGCTCAGGCGCGTGTCCGAGGGAGGTTGCCTAAATTCACTAGTGGTGGAGATTCAACCAC